TTCAGACAAAACATTGGGATTACAATCTGCACCGCTGCAGGTGACCCGAGGGTTTCCCGAAGCAGGTCAGAGAAACCCGCATGCCCGAGGCTGCGCGCGCCGAGTTCCTCGTGGCAGACCTGCTCAAATTGATCACGCACTCCTAACTTGTGGTGCAAAGGAGGCGACGCCTGTACCGAGGCGACATGATCGTTCATCTCCGAGTATCAGCACCCCGGAATGATTGCCCGATGGCGATCGTTCGCTATCGTTGGGATTTACCAAGGTCGCTCAAAGGAAGTAGTCCCGCACCGACGACGTGGAGGGGCGGCGAGGCTCGAACAGAAGTCTAATGACATACATATGTAGCATCGGCGGGCCCGTCGCCCAGCCCCAAGCATTTCTCGTCGGCACAACCCGCACGAGCGCGACGCAACGCATGACGAGCATGTCAGTCTTGGGCTGCACCGTCCATGTCGACGTCTGCGACCTCTTCCGCCTGCTCGACACTGATGTGCCCTGCAGGCCTCCACACGTTCCCTGCGGTCATCTTCCACAGCCGCACGCGCCCGTCGTTCCCTGCAGAAGAGAGCACAGTCCTGTAACAAACACAGCGAGTTAGCAACCAATCATCATCAGCGATGCCTGGCGCCCAACGCGATAACACGCACCCTGTGACGTTCCACTCGACGCGCCCTACTGCGGACCTGCACATAGTAGGAGAGCGCGCGCGGTGAGCGAGTGCACCTCGCAGATATGGAAAGAACCATGCACGCACTTGTGATCGTCAAAGTCGGCCACCACCGCGGCGAACCATTGGGCGTCAGGCCCCTCCGTGCCATCTGTCTCCCCGTCATCCTCTAGCGCGGGCGGCTTGACGCGCCAGATCCGTACATGGCCGTCGCGGCCTCCTGTAGCGACGAGGTGGTACGAGCGGCCGCAGGAGGGGGCCCACGCGATGCTTGTGATCGCATATGGCTGGGGCGCGTCGCCATCAGCGGATGGTGCTGTCCCTCGTGCAGCTCCGTCGCCCGCGGGTGTCGGGTCGAGCGTGAGCACTGTCAGTGGTCTCCGTGCTGCTATCAGCTGGACGATCTACGAGCGGTGATTAGAATGAGGCTGTTTATATGATATAGTCAGAAGTATACCTTGACGAGACCGTTGATCCCACTGGCCACTGCTATGACTTCTCCCCAATATCTGTCCTTGCACCATGATAGACACCATCCTCCATCCGCCTGATCAAGCACCAGCACTCAGCCATGAAGGACTCAGTCACCGAAGACGGACTGACATACCTCCCTGTATCCTAGTCCCGGTCTACTCGGGAGCTGGTTCTGTTGCTGCTGTTGCTGTGCCGCGTGCGCCGCGAGCGAGACCGACGCCGCATCCAGCGTCGCGCCCGGCTGTGTCGGGGTGGCCAGCGTGACCGTCGGCGCGATCGAGCGCGGCGCGGACGCCAACTGCAGCGACGCGACGTCCACCTCCTCCGCGAGCTGCCACGTCGCGAGCGACGGCTGCTCCAGGCACTCGTACACGCGCAGGTGGTTGTCCGACGCTATCGTCGCCTAGCGTCCGTCAGCGCCACACTCTTGCACGCGGGAGCCCCAAGGAAGGGGAGGAGGGTACGCACGAGTTTGAGCCCGAAGTGGTGCGGCGCGAACTCGACGGCGCGCACGGTGCCCTTGGCGTCGACGAGCATCGCCCGCTCGACCCAGCGCGACGCGCTCGAGGGCCCGGGACCGCCGCCGCCGCCGCCGCCGCCGTTCAGCTGTGGCCCGTCGCCGTCGCCGGGCGCGGCTTGTTCCCATATCTTGACGGTGCGGTCGAACGACCCCGAGGCGAGCACGGCGCCGAATTCGGGGTGGGCCCAGCTTACTCTTGAGATGGAGGCGTCGTGTGCCTAGGGGCGGTGAGACGCGTCGCGGGCTGGTGTAAGGGGACAAGGACGAGACGCGTACCTTCCAGTCGTCCTCTGGGTCCCATGTGCCTTTTGTCTCATTGAGACGCCATATCTTTATTCTGTTGGTCGTATTTCGTGTCATTTCTCTGGGGAAGACCGTGCGCGAGCAGTTGAACGCTACCTTTGGTCGAGACTGCAAGTCGCGAGGCGAAGGCCGTAGAAGTCGTAGGACGCGTCCGTGATGAGGTCGCTGTGTGCATTCGGTATAAGACCCGTCTGCATCATCTTTAAAACAGACAGGTAGAAGCAGTGGTGGAGGTGAAGGACCAGTTGGAAAGACAAGCAGTGGGTTCCCGGCAGTGGGTGGCCAAGTTGTGGCCTCTTCAGCTTGTCTTCAGCAGACGCGCATCGCGCATCGCAGACGCCGTCATCCTTGATCCCGAACCATCATCATCGTTGAGTATCGAACAAGTATCGAATCATCGTCCTGCGTCGTGCGTTCATGTGTTCGCGCTAGGCTGACTGACGACTTGTAAAATCCACTTACAGCATTTCGAAGGCTCAGAAAGCTGGACGTTGAAGATCAGATACCTGGACCCTTCGTCGCATCATTTTGAGCAAGTCAGCCTTCCTCTGTGGCTGTACTTGTCAAGCAAACGATGCAAGATCGACAAAGGGGACATTTGCCAGGAGCACATCCATCTCCAGGTGTGCTCCTTGATTCCCTGATTCCCGACATTTTCGAGATTCCTCCCCCAAGCTCCTCAGGCGCGGTTTCAGAAGATCGCGTTTTGGTATTCATATTGATACACGTATCTAACCATTGTACTATCGATACAGAGCTGTACATCCAAAACGAGAGGCAAGAAATACTGATGAATAACGATTATCCGGGAGTGTCGGTAGTGTGATGCTTGATGATGCTAGTGTGCGCAAGGATGAATCGAATGTCAGCAGGGAGCGTGAAGAATCGGTTTTGCAGGAGTGTGTGAGCCTCTTGGCGGCAGTGTGTGAAGACGGGCGCGTCAGGTTGGTCGAGGGAGTGGGATGGTAGGTGGGTTGGGTCCATGACTGGTCAGTATCGAACTGACGTCGGAAGCGAGCAGGCCATACGCTCGGCAGAACAGCCAAGCGAGACTGGTGTCGTCTCGTGCCGGACTGGAGGCTGGTTGGCAATGGAAGCCTGTCGGCGTATACGTCACGTCTTAACGACGAGGACGGCAGTTACGACGACGGCGACGACAACGAGCAAGAGGACGGAGAGGGCGAGGAGGCAACGCTTTGCCCACTTGGTCTCGGCACGACGCATGGACTGAACGAGCTCCTCTCTCTCCGCCTCGCTCTTGGTGGACTGCCGTTCCTGTGGTGGGCGCAGAGGCGAGATGAGGAAGAAGGCTCCGGCCACCCAGAGGAGCGGGAACACTGCGACGACACGTATGTGAGCAGGCTGCGGGTGTGACGTGACGCAGAGAGAAACTCACCGAAGCCGAACGTGAACAGGTGCTTGACGAGCGTAGGGTGCTCAGCGTGACGCGTGTACGCCGGAGGCTCAGGCGAGTGCGAGTACGGCGGCGGCGGCGCGTCGTCGGTGTGCACGGGCAGGGACGCTGCGTCCGGTCGGCTGTCCGGCAAGTCGTGTGGGATAAAGGATGGGGAGGCGATGCCAAAGAAGTCGTCAACTGCGCTGTCCTCCAGAGCTCGCGAGGTGCGAATGACCGCTGCGGGCGGGCTGGGGATCCGGATGTGCTCAAATTCTGACCTGGATGGCGACTGGGCCTCGATGTCGCCCATTTGCGCTGCGCTCGAAGCGCTGAAGAGGGCCGGGATGAGGAAGGTGGAGGAGGTTGAGCTGCGAGCAGACATGGTAAACTGAGGGCAAGGGATAGCAAGGGGTGTGGAGGGATGTGGGGGAGACGAGACTGAAAGCCGGGGACCGATGGGGAGGTCGTGGCAGCGGGCGAGCGGATATATAGCTCGGGACCCTGGATGTCGCTTATCCTAAGCGGGCAGCATGTTCGGCTTCGGACCAATCCTGTCGACGTTCGCCTAGGACCCCCGAGAATAGGTGGGGAACCCTGATCGCACTTGTCCAAAATCCGGCAAATTTGTCTGGTCGCCCAGTGGCCTATTTTGTCTGGATTCCGATCCGGCTCCAGGCCGGATCGCGGATTTGTCTGGATTCCGTATCCGGCAGCCAAAATCGCAAAATTTGTCTGGATTAGCATATCCGGCTTCAAAAAATGCGCATTTTGTCTGGATTAATGTATCTGGCCGTGTTTCGAGGCTGAATCATCAACCAAAACGTCTCCTTAGAACTAGCTAGGACACTACTAAACGCAATGGCGAGTCAGACGAGTCCACCGAATCGAAGAACATTGCTCGTATGCATCATTTGTCCGACTCGCCATCTTCGTCCTTACTTTTGTTCCTGCGCGCCTTGCGAAGAGACGCTATAGCATGTGTATTAGAGGGCATAGGAGGATGGGTAGTATGGTGATGTCGAGCGAGGACTGTACAACAAGGAACTTCGTCGGCGCGGAAGTTAGGACTGGCTGTACTGAGTAGTACAGCACGCTCATAGCCAGACATAATAGTTGTGATTGTATTGCATTAGCAATTTGTAACAGTATACGTGCACTCTGACAATGCAGATACAAGCCACTCTATACCTAGTAACTGATGTAGAAGGGATCACCGCCACCGGAGCACCCAGCGCGCAAGTTCGATCCCTGGTCAGACACCAACCCTACCCCCCATATTTGTCCGGGCCGGTATCAGACTTCCCCGACCCCCCGGGCAAAATGTCTGGACAAAAAATCCGGCCTCGCCGCAAATCTCCAGGATTTGTCTGGATTTCGATCCGGCTGTGGGGGGTCCAATCACCCAAATTTTGTCTGGATTGCGATCAGGGTCCCCCACCTATTCTCGGGGGTCCTGTTCGCCTACGGCGGTCGTGGGAGAAATGTATGCCCGCTCTCGCAGACACGGCCCCACGCCTCTGCCTAGAAAGAGCATTCAGGTGGGACCCACAGACGCACACATACGGCGGCGACGACCACGCCATCCGGTGGTTTGCGTGAACGCTGAATGAAATTCATTTGGCTTTGGATAGTCATCATCTCTGTTAGTATATCGGTTAGTACACGCGCCTGTCACTGACTGCGTACGTCCAGAAGGTGCGCGCGAAAGCGGGGTTCGACTCCCCGACAGAGAGTCTGGCATAGGTATACTTTTTGTACCGTTTTGACTGCACCGTTTTCTTTTTTCTCTCTTCTTGTTATTCTACGCGTTTATCCTCCGTACCTATGTACATGTTCCATACCTGATAGCCTCATTGTTACGCCATGAATGGATCATCTCGTGTAACTTACAGGGCACAGCTATGATATATTACATTGGATCAGCCGTACAATAGATTACAAACGCATGAACACTACAATTGTGAACGGAGGCACTCCCAAGAACGACTCGGAGCTATCTTGACCCGCCACGAGGTCTCGCATGCGCCGACGCCGCCTGCACCACCGCCGATCGAGGAGCGAATGGGCTGCTCCCCGGGTTCAATTCAGACTTGCTCGCCACCGATGCTGCCTGCGCATTGCGCGCCGCACTCAGTCCCAAGCCCGACGGCTCGAAAGGCTGTGCGCGTCCCGACAGGTTTGAGCCGATGGCGGGCGGCGCCGGTGACGAGGCTGCGGACGAGCCCGAGCCTGACGCGGAGCCCGAGCCCGAGTTCGAGTGCGCGCGGCCGGTGTGCCCATTGGCATGGGGTCGGCCGTTGGCCTTGTGTGCGTGGCTGGAGGCGGGGGCGGAAGCTTGGAGGTGGCTGATACCTGGTCCCGCTCCGAGCTCGCGGTGGCTGGGGAGGGACAGGCGGGAGCTGTGGGCGGGGCGCTGGATTGGGGGGAGGCTTTGCGGCTGGGGATGCGCCTGCGATGCGTCTGCGCGCGCGGAGGGGCGAGTGGGGGCGAGTGGGGAGTGATGTGGGTGTTGTTGGTGCGCGTGATGCGTATGTGGATGGGAGTGCCGCTTGCGGGAGTGCTGGTGAGGGTGTTGTGCGTGGGCGAACGCCCCGTGGCTCGAGTGGTGGTGTACATGGTTCAAATGGTGATGGCCCTGCGAGGAGCTGCCCGACACGCTCTGGTGGTCCGAACGGCTTGTGCGACCGTCCAACTCGACGATCGGGTCTTCGTTCTCCTGCGAGCCGTCCGCGTCGCGCCCTCCCGCCTCCCCTTCGTACCCGAACGGATCGCGTTCTATCCTCTCGCGTTCCTCCTCGAGCTGCCGCAGCTTGTCCTCAAGCTCGCCGATCGTCCCTATTGCGCCGTCGTTCGAGCCCTCGAGCTTCTCCCGCCGCACATTCAGCTTTTCCAGCGACCTTCCCAACGCACTCATCTCCGCTGCCCACCCCTCATGCCTCCGCTTCTCCTTCAACTCCGCCTCCTCACGTTCTCTCCGCTTCTCCTGCGCCCGTAGCCGCACCCGTCCGAGCTCCTCGTCCACCTCGCGCACGCGCTGCTCGAGCCCCGGCAGGGCAGCCTCGACCTCTATCCGCGCCTCTTCGATCGCCTCCGCAGCCGCCTCCGTCTGTTTGCGCGCCTCACGCAGCGCAAGCACTTTCTGTTTTGCGCGCTGCTCGCCCGCTGCACCCCGGTCTGCTGCGCGCTTCAGCGCGTCGATCTCCGTGCGCAGGCCTGCGTCTGCCTTCTGCGCTTCCTTGCGGGCGGTCTTGAGCGCCGCAGTGAGTTGGGCGTGCTCGTTGTTAAGCGCAGAGAGTTCATGTGCTAGCTGCTGCCTGCGAGTTTCTAATGTGAAAGGCGCAGGCGTCGGCATAGGTACGGATGCGGACGGTGAAGATGAGGGTGATGTATGGGAGGGTGAGGTAGAGACTGCTTGAGATGAGGTGCTAGAGGCAAGAGAACTGCTGAAGAGGATAGCCTCTTCCGTGCGTTGGTCCGGACGTGTGGGATCGGGGTGCAGTTCACTATCTGTATGTGCGGAGCGGTGAGCATGCAGTTGGCAGATGAGGGAAGGCGAGCGGTTCCGGCGCAGCTCTATCGTAGGAGAGGAGATAACGATCGACGGCTCATGTCACACCATCTCGACACATGTGTGGCCAGAGCGAAGCTCTGTGTCATGAATCGTGCACCATACCTTCGTAGGAACGAAGAGAAGGGCCAAGGAGGCCATAGCCGATCATCTGTTCTCGATCCAGGCAGGCTTCGAGCGAGATGCGGCCTACTATCAGCTCGGCGAAACTAAGCTGATACGATAGCGAGGGACAAGGAGCCTGAGCTTTTGCGACATGCACAATTGTCAAGCGCGATAGGCAGGTCACGGAAGAAACGCCACTGTCAGGTCCAATGAGGAATGACAAACTGTCCCTGCTGAGCGCGCCCAAGTGCTTTCCGCAGCCTGGACGGAGGGCCTCCTTTGCTTCTGCAGCCTTGGAGGTGTACCGGAGCCAGATCATGCAAACTGCTTCACGTAACCGATGAACGAAGACAAACTCGACTCACTTGTGGTAATCTGCCCTCGCAATGTCCGTTCGCCCGGTACGATCCCCAGCTCGACGTCGTACTGCCTACCGGGCATCAGCCCGAAGAGGATGATCACGGCCTCGTCCGTCTCCTCGTCGATTCTGATGAGCACCCTTTGCCAGGGTATACCGTTCACCTTCACCGACAGGCCCTTTGCGAGGACATCCGAAATGATCTGTGTCCTGCCTGGCTCGCATTCGTCTTCCACGCCGGAATCTGCATCCTCGTCGGAGGACATGTTCAGCGAGCCGATAGAGTCGGAGCTATATGGGGAGGATAAAATGAAGGTGACCGAGACCGAGGTTATTTCACGGATCGACAGCGCCAGAGTAGGACGCCATGGCCGGATTGTATGCCACTCTGCGAAGTCGTCCATTCTCACAGTGGATGTACACTGTACACAGAAAAAGCGTCGCACTGGAAGACGTCAGTGTGAATGTGGTTTGCTGCAAAAACTGCTCAAGCTACCCACCGGCGTGAAAGCCACAGTAGTTCGATGGCAGTGTCAACGGCGCAATCTATGCGGACAAGGGTTGAGGGCAATATGGAACCCTACAAGTGCACTGCAGCCATTGAGGAAATGGGTGGATGTGTAGTCGGTGTGCACGGTCTGGAGAGAAAAGTAGCAGCAAGCCAGGACGAGAACCACCGCAGATTCCTTGGCCCAAAAATGAGCCACCGACCAAGACTGCGTGGCACTGGAAGGCATCTAGGCAAGAAAAATTCCGACACGGGGAATCGAACCCCGGGCTATCGCGTGAGAGGCGATAATGTTAGCCACTACACCATATCGGACCGTGCGGTGAATACCCTGCTCAAATACATCGCCCCTGTGAATAGAGGGTCCATGCGATCTTCATGAACTCATCAAACTTTCGGTACGTCTGCTCTCAGCCACCACTGTAGGGGAAAGCATCCTGAACAGGGCTCCATCCCTTCCTCCTCCTCCAACTTGTTGAACCTCTCATACCTACGTGGAAGAAATAGCTGTTATCAACACAAAACTCTTCTGTTCCTTGTCCACTTCAGAAGCAAGCGGACATGGTCGTGCTTGCAGATTCCACGGCAGTCAAAGTCTATACTGTCAACGGCGCTGCATCTGGTTCCTCCTCATCACTACCAGACTGGCTTACACGGAAACGTGCAGTAAAAGGGAAAGGGAAACGCAATGCTGTCCGAGAACAAGTGGAGTCGACCATTGAACTTATTCAGCACTTCGAGTTTCCCGAGGCGAGCAACCGGGTCAAGACAACGAGGGACGGACACCACACGATAGCTACGGGGACATACAAACCCCAGATACGAGTCTGGGATCTTGACCAACTGTCCCTCAAGTTCGAGCGTCACACGGACGCGGAAAATGTCGACTTTGTTGTGAGTAAGTCTGCTTAGGTGTGGACGCTCTTGGTGCTAGTGCTCATGGCTACTGCTCGTCGGGATAGATGTTGTCGGATGACTGGACAAAAAGTATACATCTGCAATGCGACCGCTCGGTAGAGCTGCACACACAAGGCGGTTTCCACTACCGCACTCGTTTACCTCGCTTCGGACGCGCACTCGCATACCACTTCCCCTCATGTGATGCCCTGTTCGCGGCATCTGGTCCGGAGATTTTCCGCCTGAATCTGGACCAAGGACGCTTCATGCACCCACTCCTACTGCAAGGCGAGGGCGGTGAAGATATTTCCGGGGTCAATGCCATCGACATTAACCCCGCACACCAGCTTTTCGGGTTCGGCGTAGACGGGAACGGTACGGTAGAGTTCTGGGACCCGCGCTCAAGAGCACGAGTTGGTATTCTACGACTACCCAAAGAACGGCTACTGCCCATGGGCTCTGTCATGTCTACTCTACCAGGAGTAGATGACGGGTCATCTCAGTCACTCTCAGTCACTGCTATATCCTCCAGACCGGATGGACTCTCCTATGCTATCGGTACTTCTTCCGGGCACACCATACTTTACGATATTCGCTCTGCTCGGCCATTGGCGATCAAGGACCAGGGATACGGTCTGCCCGTCAAGAACGTCAGCTGGATAGAGGGTGGTAGTCGGATGGCCGGCGACGGATTGATCCTGAGCGCAGACAAGAAAGTCATCAAGATCTGGGACAGGAACTCAGTGGGTCTTCTACTGCGGTTCCTTTGCTGATTAGCAAGGCTCATACGCTGTGATCCAGCCCGATACCAATTTTGCCTCCATAACTCCCGCATCCGATCTCAACGACGTCCACCATGTCCCCAACAGCGGCCTCCTTCTGCTCGCTAACGAGGGCATCCAAATGACGACCTACTTCATCCCGCAGCTCGGGCCCGCCCCGCGTTGGGCGAGCTTCCTCGAGAACCTTACCGAGGAGATGGAGGACCAGACGACGCGCACCGCGTACCAGGACTACAAGTTCGTCACGCGGGACGAGCTCGCTGCGCTCGGGCTCGACCACCTCGTCGGCACGCCGACGCTCAAGCCGTATATGCATGGCTACTTCCTCTCGCTCGCGCTCTACGACGCCGCGCGCGTCATCGCCAATCCGTACGTCTACGCGGAGCACCGCGAGCGCGCGGTCCGCGAGAAGATGGACAAGCTCTCGGAGAGCAGGATTCGCGCGCCGAAAAACGCGCTGGCGAGCGTGAAGGTGAACAAAGCCCTTGCGGAGAAGATCAGGAAGGAAGAGGAGC